TGGGCTTGAAAAAACCATAGAAGACAGCAGAGACTCCATTGCTACAAAGATCAAGGATCTTAAAAATAGCCATGATGAATTAAAAAATGCTATAAATGAGGTGCAAAATAAAACCAAGGCAGCCACAGCGCAGACAGAAGATGCAGAGGGGAGAATAGGTGAACTAGAAGATAAAATTATGGAAAAAGAGGCAGCCGAGAAAGAGAGGAGAGAGTGCGCTAAACTGATCCAGGAGCACAAAAGGAGAATTCGAGAACTGAGTGATGCAATCAAATGTAACAATATATATATCATAGAAATTCCAGAAGAGAAAGGGGCTATAGGGGTACCTGAACAAATCATGGCTGAGAACTTCCCCAATCTAGGGAAGGAAACAGACAACGAAATCCAGGAGGAACAGAGAACTCCCTTCAGATGTAACTTGAATCGATCTTCTGCATGACATATCATAGAGAAACCGGCAAAATACAAGGATAAAGCTAGGGATAAACGGGCCTTAAAATACAAAGGTAGACACATAAGGGTAGCAGACCTATCTACTGAAACTTGGCAGGCCAGAAAGGAATGGCAGGAAATCTTCAATGTGATGAACAGGAAAAATATGCAGCCAAGAATCCTTTATCCAGCAAACCTGTCATTCAGAATAGAAGGAGAGATAAAGGTTTTCCCAAACAAACAAAAACTGAAGGAATTCATCACCACTAAACCAGTCCTACAAGAGATCCTAAAGGGAACTCTATGAGGAAAATGTTGCAAGGACCACAAAGGACCAGAGACATCACTACAAGCATGAATCCCACAGAGAATGCAATGACTCTAAACCCCTATTTTTCAATAATAACACTAAATGTAAACAACTAAATGCTCCAACCAAAAGACATAGGGTAGCAGAATGGATAAAACAAGACCCATGTATTTGCTGTCTGTAAGAGACTCATTTTAGACCTGAGGACACCTTCAGATTGAAAGTGAGGGGATGGGGAACTATCTATCATGCTACCGGAAGTGAAAAGAAAGCTGGAGTAGCCATACTTAGATGAGACAAACCAGACTTTAAAGTAAAGGCTGTAACAAGAGATGAAGAAGGGCATTATATAATAATTACAGAGTCTATCCGTCAGGAAGAGCTAACAATTAAAAATGTTTATGTACCAAATTCTGGAGCACCCAAATATATAAAACAACTAATCACAAACACAAGCAATTTTATTGCTAATAATGTGCTAACTGGAGGGGACTTAAATACTCCAGTTACGGCAATGGATAGATCAACCAGACAGAGAATCACTAAAGAAACAACGTCCCTGAATGACACTTTGGACCAGATGGACTTGACAGACATATTTAGAACTCTACATCCCAAAGCTATGGAATTCACTTTCTTCTCGAGTACACATGATACATTCTCCAAGAAAGATCACATACTGGGTCACAAAGCAGACCTCAATAAATATCAAAGAATTGAGATCATACCATGTACATGTTCAGATCACAATGCTGTGAAACTTGAAATCAACCACAGGAAAAACTCTGGAAACCCTCCAGAAGCATGGAGGTTAAAGAATACTCTACTAAAGAATGAATGGGTCAACCAGGCAATTAAAGAAGAAATTAAAAAATATATGGAAGCAAATGAAAATGAAAATACAACAATCCAACCCTTTGGGATGCAGCAAAGGCAGTCCAAAGAGGAAAACACATTACCATGCAGGCCTATCTGAAGAAACAAGAAAAAGCCCCAAACAAAATCTAACAGCACACCTAAAGGAACTAGAAGCGGAACAGCAAAGACACCACAAACCCAGTAGAAGAAAAATAATAAAGATCAAGGCAGAAATAAACAATATAGAATCCAGAACAACAGGTCAATGAAACCAAGAATTGGTTTTTTGAAAAAATAAACAAAATTGATAAACCTCTAGCCAGGCTTCTCAAACAGAAAAGGGAGTGGACCCAAACATATAAAAATCGTGAATGAAAATGGATTGGTCAGAACCAATACCTCAGAAATACAAGCAATTATCAGGGAGTACTATGAAAAATTATATGCTAATAAACTGGACAACCTGGAAGAAATGTACAAATTCCTAAACACCAAAATACTATCAAAACTCAGACAGGAAGAAATAGAAAATTTGAACAGTTCCATAACTAGGGAAGAAACTGAATCAGTTATCAAAAATTTCCCAACAAGTAAGAGTCCTGGACCAGATGGTTTCCCTGGGGAATTTTTAACAGACATTTAAAACAGAGTTAATACCTATCCTTATCAAACTGTTCCAAAAAACAGAAATAGAAAGAAAACTTCTGGACTCATTCTATGAAGCCAGCATTACATTGATTCCCAAACCAGACAGAGACCCAGCAACAAAAGAGAACTACAGGCCAGAAACCCTAATGAATATGATGCAAAAATCCTCAATAATATACTAGCAAATCAAATTCAATAGCATATAAAAAGAATTATTCACCATGATCAAGTGGGATGCATTCCTGGGATGCAGGGCTGGTTCAATATTCGCAAATTAACAAAAGATAAAAACCATATGATCCTGTCAATAGATGTAGAAAAAACATTTGACAAAACACAGCATCCTTTCTTAATAAAAACCCTCAAGAATGTCAGGATAGAAGGAACATACTTAAACATCATAAAAGCCATGTATGAAAAGCCCACAGCTAATATCATCCCCAATGGGGAAAAACAGAGCTTTCCCCCTGAGATCAGGAACACAACAGGGATGTCCACTCTCACCACTGTTGTTTAACATAGTGTTGGAAGTCCTAGCATCAGCAATCAGACAACAAAATGAAATAAGAGGCAACTGATTTGGCAAAGATGAAGTCAAACTTTCACTTTCCGCAGACATGATATTCTACATGGAAAACCTGACAGATTCCACCAAAGTCTGCTAGAACTGATCCATAAATTCATCAAAGTTGCAGGGTACAAAATCAACGTACAGAAATTGGTTGCATTTTTATACACCAACAATGAAGCAAGAGAAAGAGAAATCAAGAAACTGATTCCCTGCACAACTGCACAAAAAAGCATAAAATACCTAGGAATAAACCTAACCAAAGATGTAAAAGATCTGTATGCTGAAAACTATAGAAAACTTATGAAGGAAACTGAAGACGACACAAAGAAATGGAAAAACATTCCATGCTTATGGATTGGAAGAATAAATATTGTTGAAATGTCAATACTACCCAAAGCAATCTACACATTCAATGCAATCCCAAATAAAATTGCACCAGCATTCTTCTCAAAGCTAGACAATCCATCCTAAAATTTGTATGGAACCACAAAGACCCCGAATAGCCAAAGTAATATTGAAGAAGAAAACCAAAATAGGAGGCATCACAATTCCAAACTTAAGCGTCTACCAGAAAGCTGTAATCATGAAGACAGCATTGGCACAAAAACAGATACATAGACCAATGGAATAGAATAGAGAACCCAGAATTGGACCCGCAAATGTATGGCCAACTAATCTTTGACACAGCAGGAAAGAGCATCCAATGGAAAAATGACAGCCTCTTTTAATGGTGCTGGGAGAACTGGACAGCAACATGCAGAAGAATGAAACTAGACCACTTTCTTACACAATACACCAATGTAAACTCAATACGGATGAAGGACCTGAATGTGAGGCAGGAAACCATCAAAACTCTAGAGGAGCAGGCAGGCAACAACCTCTTTGACCTCAGCCACAGCAATTTCTTACTCGACACATCTACAAAGGCAAGGGAATTAAAAACAAAAATGAACTACTAGGTCCTCATCAAGATAAAAAGCTCCTGCACTGCAAAGGAAACATTCAACAAAACTAATAGACAATTAATTAGTTCCCTAATGGGAAAAGATAGTTGCAAATGACATATCAGATAAACGGCTAGTATCCAAAATCTATAAGGAACTCAGCAAATTCCACACTCCAAAAACAAATAATCCAGTGAAGAAATGGGCAGAAGCATGAATAGACACTTTTCCAAAGAAGACATCCAGATGGCCAAAAGACACATGAAATGTTGTTCAATGTCACTCATCATCAAGGAAATACAAATTAAACCACATTGATATACCACCTCACATTGGTCAGCATGGCTAAAATGAACAAATCAGGGGACTATAGATGCTGGTGACCATGTGGAGAAATGGGCACCCTGTTACACTGTTGATAGAATGCAAACTGGTGCAGCTCCTCTGGCAAACAGTGTGGAAGTTCCTCAGAAAATTAAAAACAGAACTACCCTATGACCCAGCAACAGCACTACCAGGAATATACCCAAGGGATGCAGGAGTGCTGATACAGAGGGCCACATGTATCCCAATGTTTATAGAAGAACTTTCTGCAATAGCCAAATCATGGAAAGAACCAAAATGGCCATCAACTGACAAATGGATAAAGAAGTGGATTATATATACAATGGAATACTACTTGGCAATGAGAAAGAATGAAATTTGGATATTTGTAGCAATGTGGATGGAACTGGAGGGTACCATGCTAAGTGAAATAAGTCCTGCAGAGAAAGACAGATATGATATGTTTTCACTCATATATGGATCTTGAGAAAACTTAACAGAAGACCATGGGTGAAGGGAAGGGGGAAAAATGTTACAGAGGGAAGGTGGCAAACCATAAGAGACTCTTAAATACTAAGAACAAACTGAGGGTTGATGGGGGTGGGGGAGAGGGGAAAGTGGGTGATGGGCATTGAGGAGGGCACTTGTTGGGATAAGCACTGGATGCTCTATGGAAACCAATCTGACAATTAATTACATAAAATTTTTTTTTAAATAACCACAGTTTACATTTTAAAATAGTTTAAAAATACTTAATTAGAAGAAATAAAACCACTCTAGAAATAAAGAAATGAGCCACACCTTCTAAGAGCACCTTATACTTGAAAGGAGTTACTGAAATGAATGGAAGGAAGTATGAGATATAGAGTACAATTCATACAAACAGTGGGATTAAGTTTTAGGTACTTACTGAGACTCAACTTCTTGTTTAATTTCTTGCCATTCTCCATATGGGTTTGATTTTTTATGAGCTTTGAATTTTTCTTCATTTGGACCTGATGAAGTTTGCTCTTGGGTATTTTTTTCTTTCTGTGTTTCTGGTTCAGTTCCTTTGTCACTATTTTTATTTTTTTCCTGAAATGTCAAAGTCAAGAAATAACGTATTACAGCAAAGTTACAGGGACAACAATTTCTTTAACACAGTCATATTATTGATTTAAACATTAACCCAGTATTTTAAATTTGCACATAACAACAAATATATATAAAAGAATTTTAGTGTTTGATTAGGCTTTTTACTATGTCTAAAATGATAAGATATCATGGTTAAGGCTGGTATATATGTATGCATTTATTTATTAAAGTTTATTTATCTTGAGAGAGACAGAGACAGAATAAGTTGGGAAGGAACAGAATGAGGAGACAGAGAATCCCAAGGATTGACTCAGGGCTCGAACTCACTAACCCTGAGATCATGACCTGAGCGGAAACGAAGAGCTGGATGCTTAACCGAGAGAGCCACCCAGGTGCCCTCAAGGACTGCTTTTAAAACAATTTGACTGTATTAACATTCTACACTTAAAAACATACACTGGCCTTTTTTATACTCTTTCTGTCTTCTCTCCTTACTTTTATATTCAACAGTATCTCCCCTTAAACTGTGCCTTTTCTGAATTTAATGCCATGCCATTAAACCTTTCTATACTCATTATCTATGTAAAGAACTCCCTCAACCTAGTAGTCTTAACTGAAATCTGTCTTTACATTGAGGACAGTGCCAAAGCTTCAGTGGAATCTATGCTAACTGTGAAATGGGAATAAGACACAACCCTGAGATAGAAGCAGGTCCCATGGGAGCCCCTGGCTAGGGTTGGTATTTTTATGGCACCCCTTCATCAGGAATAATAGAGCCCTATGATCCAGTTTAGCAAAGGGACCATGCACTTGATTTCTGCCTCTCTGCAAAATGCACAATCATGTGTGGTGGTCCTAGGACACTGTTCTGTTTGTAATTCTTTGAATGGATATTAACTCATTCCCTCATGCTGTTCCATCATAAAACTAGGAAACAGCATCCACTTTTAGCATTCTCTTTACTGTTTCCAAGCTGTGACTTCTTTTTAATAAAAGATTTTTAGAGATCATAGTTTATGCTTTGATTCTAATGCAATGTAATAAATGCCTCCTCCTCTGGGACTTGTACCACCCTGTATACAGTTTTCTTCCATGCTTCCTTACATAAGTCACTGTAAGTGACCTTTGGCAACTGTCTCATATACACTGATGTCTTTATGGGTTTTTTGTTTTTTTTTTTTTTTTTTTACCACCATATCTTTTCTATTCAACTCATCATTTTGGACTTTAAAAGTTCCCTAGCCTGTTCTGTGTGCCTCAAAATCAAGGACTTTGGCTTGGACTATATTTTAGTCACCAGAAGTTACATATTTTCCATCATACATAGCATCTAGTATATAGGTAGTATTCAAATATTAAACCTCACATCTATGTTCCTTTTTAATTTGAACTGTATCATCACTCAAAAATGCCCCACTTGTGGGGCACCTGGGTGGCTTAGTCGGTTAAGCGTCCGACTTTCGCTTAGGGCATGATCTTGCGGTTCGTGGGTTCAAGCCCTGCGTCGGGCTCTGTGCTGACTGCCAGCTCAGAGCCTGGAGCCTGTTTCAGTCTGTATCTCCCTTTCTCTCTGGCCCTCCCCTGCTCACGCTGTCTCTCTCTCTCTCTCTCTCCTGAAATAAATAAAAATTAAAAAAAAAAAAATGTCCCACTTGTGAAATTTTAAACTCTAAAAGTCCCCCCTTCTAACCACAGTAAGTTATTCTGGCTTCCTACTTTACTTCCAATATACCTCCTATCTACAAACCTCATTACCATCTCTAATGGCTTAACTTCCCTTTGGGTTCTGAATTTGCTGACTTCATCATTACAGAGATCCTCATCCACAGTGAATCATTTTATTTATTTTTGATCATTTTTTAAAACTTTGGAAGTGTATTCTTTAATCCCATAAACTACTTTACCCATTCCTTTCCTTCCCTCTGGTAACTATCACTTTATTCTCTATAGTTAAAGGTTCAGTTTCTTGGTTTGTCTTTTGTTTTCCTTTGCCCATTTGTGTTGTTTCTTAAATTCTACATATGAATGAAATAATATGGTATTTGTCTTTCTGTGACTGACTTATTTTGCTTACCATTATACTCTCTAGCTCCATCCATGTCTTTGCAAATAGCAAGATTTCATTCCTTTTTTATGGCCAAATAATATTCTACTGTGCATATATACACATCTTTATCCGTGCATCTATCCATGAGCACTTCAGGTGCTTCCATAGTCTGGCTATTATAAATAATGTTGTAATAAATATATGAGTACATGTAACTCTCTGAGTTAGTGTTTTTGTGTTTTTGGGGTAAATACCCAGTAGAGTGATTACCGGAGCCTAGGGTACTTCTATTTTTAGTTTTTTTGAGGAACCTCCATACTGTTTTCCACAATGGCTCCACCAGTTTGCATTCCCAACAACAGTGCATGAGGGTTCCTTTTTCTCCACATTCTTGCCAACACTTGTTTATTGTTTTTGATTTTACCTATTCTGAGAGGTGCGAGGTGACATCTCCTTGTACTTTTTATTTGCATTTCCCTGATGATCAGTGATGCTGACAAATTTTACATCCTTCGTTACAGAGCTCGATGTCCACAGGGAATCATTTTAGAAACATTTTTTTGCTAGCACCCTTAAATATCTTTTTCCTTATGATTATCTATTGTATAGGACCTAAAAAACTTCGACACAGACTTATCCAATCATTGGTCTGTCAAGTGTTATAAGAGGAAAAAGAAAAATAACACAGACTTCAAGTTATATTACAAAGCTGTAGTAATCAAAGCAGTATGGTACTGGCACCAAAACAGACACATAAATCCATGGAACAGAACAAAAAAGCCAGAAATGAACCCATAATTATATGGTCAATTAATCTTTGACAAAACAGGAAAGAATACACAAGGGGCAAGAGACTTAACAATAAATGGTGGTGGGAAAACTGGTCAGCTACATGCAAAAAAATGAAACTGGACCACTTTCTTACACCATACACAAAAATAAATTCAAAATGGATTAAAAGCCCAAATGCGAAACCTGAAACCATAAAAATCCTAGAAGAGAACATAGGTGGTAATGTTTCTGGTATGGGCTATAGCAACATTTTTTAGATCTGTTTCCAGAGGGAAGGGAAAAATAGCAAAAATAAACTACTGGCACTACATCAAGATAGTTTCTGCACAGCAAAGCGAACAATCAACAAAACTAAAAGGCAACCTACTGAACAGGAGAAGATATTTGAAGATGACATATCTCATAAGGGGTTAATATCTAAGGTACATAAAAAACTTACACAAACACCCAAAAAACAAATAAAAATAATTTAAAAATGGGCAGAAGACATGAACAGACATTTTTCCAAAGAAGACATCCAGATGTCCAACAGTCACATGAAAAGATGCTCAGCATCACTCATCATCATGAAAATACAAATCAAAACTATGATGAGATCCTATATGTTGCCTGCAAATACCCTTTCTCCAGCATCCGTGAATTTTCTTCTCAGGCCAATAATGTCAACTATGAATCACAGCTATGTGTCATTTTTTTTTTTTTAATTTTTATTTCTAGGAGAGAGAGAGACCGAGTGAGCAGGGGAGGGTCAGAGAGAGAGGGAGATACAGACTGAAACAGGCTCCAGCCTCTGAGCTGGCAGTCAGCACAGAGCCCGACGCAGGGCCCGAACCCACGAACCGTGAGATCATGCCCTAAGTGAAAGTCGGACACTTAACCGACTAAGCCACCCAGGCGCCCCAGTTATGTGTCATATTTGCCTCGCCACCTGAGCTCTTGCTGGAGAGATCACAAAAGCAGGACTAACAATACTAAAGAAATGTTTGATTTTACTTTCCTGCCACGGATGGGGATTTAATACCACCTGTGAATCCTATTACTTGGTTCAATTCATCTCCCATCTCAGCTCAGTAACTGTTTCAATCCATTAATGCCAAGCTCCTGAAAGGTCCTCACTCTCAGCAAGCAATCTTAATTTCTTTACGAATGAGGATAAAAGAGTATTACTTTTTCAATTTCCTCCCTGATAACAACGCATCCATAATCCTACCTTCTTATAAAAAGGAAAACCTTACCTTCTTTACAGAAAGTGAGTTTATTCCTTGTTCAAGACCAGCCTATCTGCCTACCCTTGTTGGTATTCCCTATCTCCTCTGGAGTCATTCTTAATGAACATATCACCAGCATAAACCTCTCATGATTAAGAGTCAATGTGCAGCCATCATCCTGCCAACTAATTTCTACTTTTCATTTCATATTCAAACCACATATACACCGTGAACCACTTGTCCTTCCTCTAAAATCTGAGATTTTTAAAAATATTTTTTATTCAAATCCCAGTTATTATACAGTGTAATACTAGTTTCACCTGTAGAATATAATCTGAGTTCTGCCACCCCAACCCTGGTAAAACTGGTAGCAGGGCTTCAAGGCCTTTATGGTAAAGTTAAAAGGACATTTTTCTTTTCCTAGACCTAATTAATCCTTGATGCACTCTATTCCTTTGGCTTCTTGGATATTACATTCTGGTTCTCTGTAAAACTTTCTAGACAGTCTTTTCATTGTGGGCGGCTCTTTCCCTGCCTGTCACTGAAATGTTTGTCATTTTCCTAGGTTATCTCACCCAATATGAGATTTAAATTACTACTAGTAAACTGATGATACAAAAATGATTTAAATTACTACTAGTAAACTGATGATACTTAAATTACTACTAGTAAACTGATGATACTAACTCTAGCCTAGATACTCAGTCTTGGGGGCGCCTGGGTGGCTCAGTCAGTTAAGTGTCCAACTTCAACTCAGGTCATGATCTCACGGTCTGTGGGTTCGAGTGCCGCGTCGGGCTCTGTGCTGACAGCTAGCTCAGAGCCTGTAGCCTGTTTCAGATTCTGTATCTTCCTCTCTCTCTGACCCTCCTCTGCTCACGCGTCTCTCTCTCTCGTTCTCAGAAATTAAAAAAAAAAAAAAAAATTAAAAAAAAATTTAGATACTCAGACTTCTATGTTCAGACAGCTCTCTGGATGTTAGAGATAATTCAAACTTAGGAGGTCTAAAAATTAACTCATTGTCTTGCTACCAAATGGGTACTAATAAATGGTAATAACCATCTACCCTTTGCTAAAAATATGTCTTGGCTTTATTTCTATCTTCCACCAGAAAACTGGGTAAGTCTGTCAAGCTTTACATTGTTACGGTTTTCTAAATAATAAAACAAGAACATACCTTAAATTTTATTTTTGGCTTTTGTGTTTCTGTAGAGGCCTCTTCTTTTTCTGCCTCCTGTTCCCCACCAGAATCACTATGAGAATCTGATGATTTAGACTCTTCTAGGGTATCAAGTGACTTTTCATTGACTTTACTAGAAAGCAGATCGCCAGAGTGTGGAATAAAATCATCAGGTTTTTCCCATCTGGATTCTATTCAACACATTTTAATAGTCAGGTTATTTACTTATTACCAATTCTATTCAGAAATAACTCCCAACAGAACATTCCCTATCACTTATATTACTTTTTTAACTTTTTTTTTTTTACAACATATTATTAAACGACAACATTGCATCTATGTCCCCCCATCACTCTTTAAGAGTTTCCAAAGCTCTTGCTCTTTTACCTTTTAGAAACTGACTTCAATCTGGATTCCCTAGATGTATAACTAGAGCCCCAAAGGAAAGAGACCTAAGAATTGGGCAATATCTTCTAAGTACTCTCATAACTTATACCAATATGTGATATTGAGCACATATCAGTTTTCCCGGAATTTACTTATCACAAATATTTCCTGGTATTCTCACAAAGTGAAATCATACAGTGAAGATCTGAATGAATATAATTTGTCATTTTTATACTAGGAAAAAAATAATCTCCACTGAATTCTACTGCCATCCAGTGGTCTAGAATGAGAGCATTTCATATATCTTGCAGTTATTCTCTATTTTTCATCTAATGAAAGGAAAAGGGATTCTAAGATTTACTGCCCAACTGAGACAGTGAAAAGGGCTCTATTAATAATTATACTCATCTAGACATAAACTGGAACTGTTTAAGGGCAAATTGCAGTACTGAGTCTTTCTAAAGATAAAATAATATAGTGATATAATATAGCTAGAGTTGGATCTGAGTTTAATGCACAGCTTAAAAGAGGATGCTTTCTGGGGCACCTGCCTGGCTTAGTTGGTGGAGCATGAAACGCTTGATCTGAGGGTTATGAGTTCGTGCCCCATGCTGGGTGTAAAGATTACTCAAAAATAAAATCTAAAAAAAAAAAAAAAAAGGATGCTTTACAACATTGATAAAAACATTATTTCCTTATCTGTATTTCACATGAGTAACAAAAAAAATTCCAGGAAGTAAATAACTTATTAAGCACCTACTATGTATCAGGTACTGTTCTGAGAACTATAGATACTTGACCCTCATAACCCAAGACAATACATATGATCACCTCTATTTTACACAGGAGCAACTATAGGTTTAGTGACTTGCCTACAATCATATAGCTGCTAAAAGAAGAAGCTGTGCATTTAACCCAGATTCAACTCTCTAGCTATATCATTATATTATTTTATCTTTAGAAAGACTATTGCAATTTTACTGGGATAGAACGATTACTATCACTGGGCAGGCTAGGTATCTACTTGGAGGCTAAGAAGGCCTCTTCCCCCTAAAAGACTTAATGCTATGTAGAGGGCTTTTGATAGTAGAAATTTAATTAATAAAGCCTCCCAATGTTATATTGATACTATATACATCTTGGTAAATTTATAATAAAAACTAAATACAATTACTTGATGACCCATTTTATAAAATTAAATTAGATAAAATCTTAATTTGAGAAACCCATATAATAATTAGGTAACAACAGTTATATTGTATAAATATTTACATAGAACCAAAACATCATCAAATTAGTAAAAGTGAAAATTTGACAATCTCAGCCACTGCTAAAACAGCTTGTTTTTTAGAAAAGGAAAAGGCAAATTGAATTAGATGATTTCTAAGGTGCCTTCCAACGTAATGATTATATTTCTACAACAATCATGATAAAAATCAGTAATGGTAGTGAGAGTAAAAATGATTTTTAAAATTTGTGAATGGAGTATCAATTGAGAATAATAAGCAGCATAATATATTATAAATGAGAATCTTTCTGCTTTTCTGTTGTATGTTTTTAAATAACAAAAAATAATACATACTTGCTATAGAAACATGCTTATCACTATCCTAAAATTCCCAAGTTCCCTTCATCAGCAGGCTACTAAGCAGTTTCAGGTACAATTTTATATAGTTAGAATGATCACAGGTAATACTCACCTCCTGTTTCTGTATTATAATAGTAGGTATAACCATCTTCGCTTAAACCTTCTACCCAAACAGTCTTCCCTGCTGTCTAATGGGAAGAGGGAAAAAAAAAGCGCATAAACTGAAGATAATGATGTGGTTTTACTATATTAAATAACTAAGGCAGAGTCAACTGCTTTTCCTTTCCTCTAGACACCAGGAGTTAGGGGTGACAGTACTGACTATAGTCAGGAAGCTTGGTTTGTGTTACTACTGAATCAACTCTCAGGGAGAGAGTATCTCACCTCTGAAAGCCAGGAACAATTCTTTGCAGATGGATAGGGACATATGAATGGACTGTCAATCAACTGATATTTGCCCTACATGGGGTTTTTAGGTAGATACTACTTTTCCTCTTCCACCCAGCCTTTTCACAGAATTAAAGGAATAAAGGAAAAAAGGGTATAGAAGGGGCTTATCTGGAAGGAAATTAGCTTAAGATGACTCTACAAAAACCCCAGGAACCAGTTTAAAGAATATAGCAAAGACACTATCAGTGTGCTTCAGTTACCTTTTTTAAGTTTCCTTGAAATCCTTCAGGTCTCTCCCACTGGGATGCTTAAAGTAAAATATATTGCATTTACAAAATTTTTTTGCTTATGAAGAAAAACTTAAAAAATTGGCAAAAATTTACAAGATATTCAAGGTGTACAAAACATTACAGATCTATAATTAAAAATATAATTGAAAAATAAAAAGAACATATATCTCAGTAATATTGTACAGAACACATGTGAATGACATTTAACAAAGAACGAAGAACTGAATGATTAGAAATTACTGGTACTTCCAAAGGAATTATTAGAGCCAGATAGGGCTTCTCCTAAAGACTTCATGTTATTCAGGCTTGAAAAGTTATTAAGTTTCTTATTTACTTATTTTTTTTAGTAATCTCTACACTATTTGGGGCTTGAATTCACAACCCAGAAATCAAGAGTCACATGGTCTTCAGACTGAGCCAGGCAGGTGCCTCAGGCTTGGTAAATTTTGAAGGAATGAAACAGCAGTTTAACGTCCTCGGGAGGGGAAAGTGAGGGATAGAAAGAATGACTCAGAAAAGAAACAAGATGAAGGATGCAGAACAAAAATAAATACAGATGGCCCTTGAACAACATGAGTGTGAATTTCATGGGTCCGTTTATAAGCAGATTTTTTTCGATAAATGGGAATTTTTCAGAGATTTGTGACAGTTTGAAAAAACTCAGATGAACCAGTCTAGAAATAATGAAAAAATTAAGAAAAAGATATTACTGTAAGAATACAGTATATAATACATACACAAAATATGTGTCAATTGACTGTTTATGTTATCCGTAAGGCTTCCAGTCAACAATAGGCTATTAGTAGTTAAGTTTTTGGAGACTCAAGTTATAAGATCCAGTAATTCCACTACAGACATATACCCAAAGAAAATAAAACTAACTTGAAAAGATATACGTATCCCTATGTTTATTGCAACATTATTTACAACAGCCAGGATACAGAAGCAACCTAAGTGTTCACTGATAGATGAATGGATAAAAATGTGAGCTACATCTCTCTCTCTCTCTCGAGGTAGCCGTCAGAAGGCTCTCTCAGTGGATTCTGCGTCTTTTTTCTCCCAATCTCTCAGGTTTTGTAAGGTTTCCAATGGCTTCAGATCTTTTCTGTGTGATGTATAGGCGTGAGTGCAAGTACGGAGCTTCTTACTTCTCCGCCACCTTGCCCTCTCCCCTCTCTCTCTCTCTCTCTCACACACACACATACAATGGAATATTTCTCTGCCATAAAAAAATAAAATTTTGCCATTTGTGACAGCATGGATGAACCTAGAGAATATTATGCTAAGTGAAGTAGATCAGACAGAGAAAGACAAATACAATATAATTTCATTTACATGTGTAGTCTAAAACAAAACAAAACAAATCAGACTCTTAAATATTGAGAACTGGTGGTTGCCAGAAGGGAGGTGGGGGGGGGGGTTGATAGAGAAAACAAGTGAAGGGGATTAACAAGTTCAAAGTTCCAGTTATAAAATAAATAAGCCATAGAGATGAAAAACAGTATAGCAGAAGGAATATAGTCAATAATACTGCAATAATGTTGTATGGTGACTACACTTGTGGAGAGCATTGGTTAATGTACAGAATTGTCAAATCACTGTTTTATTCATCTGAAACTAACATAACACTTCACGTCAATTGTACTTTAAAAAAAAGTTATAAGCAGATTTTCAGTGCCCCTAAAACCTGTGTTGGTTCAAGGGTCTTGCTGAGAACAAGAGTATATACAGTAGGATGGCAGAAAAAGGAAGCAGACAATAGGAATAAGGGAGGAACACATAATAAATAGTTTCAATGCAAATTTGAGCAAGACTTATGATCTCTAGCCTACAATCATGGTTCACTGCTGAACTATCTAACGTACTTCTCTTAAGGCTCTGCGCAAATGGTGATTAATACTATTCCTAAGTAGTCCAATACCAACTATGATTCTAAAAATCATAACAATTATAATCATACTTGTAGCCCAAGGTTTTCTTCATGGTTAACTCTGATCTCATTTTCTTTCTGATCATTCTTAACTTTTTTTCTGGCTTTTCTTCTTTCCATTCTTTTAATATATGTACTACCGTTCTTTGTATTTCTTGTTCTCTCCTTTCTCCTTGTGATGTCATACACTCCCAAAAGTTAATACATTATCTCCATTTGTAGACTCAATTTAGCTCCCTAATTCCAGACTCTAATCAACTATGAATATTACCAGGTGAATGTTCTAGAGGTACCTTGAACCTCAAGATAACAAAAACTGAATTCATTATGGCCCACTTTAACTTACTCTATTTCTATATTTCATACCTTAGTAAATGGCAGCATCATCCTCCTATCCCTCCATGATAGGGCTCCAATCTATTTTTCCAGCCTCTTTCTTCTGTTAGGACATCTTCAAAGAACTGTATGTTTTACCTCCACCAGATGACTATTTCCTAAACTTTCAAACTTTTTAAAGCTTCATATCATTCCACCTGTTTAGAAAGCCTGCTCTACCCTTATAACAACCTACTATGCAATCTTTTTTCAATCAAAATATCTATAAACTATCTGTACCATGCCAGGCACTGTGTTTGGTGCTAGGGATACAAATAGTGAATAAGATGACAACATTCCTGATTCCTGAAGCTCTCATCTTTTTTTTTTCTTGGAAATATTTATTTATTTTTGAGAGAGAATGCATGTGCACATGCAGATGAGAGTCAGAGAGAGAGAGACAGAGGACATGAAACCAGCTCCATGTCTTGATAGCAGAGAGCTGATGCAGGACTTGAACTCATGAACCATGAATGACCTGAGCCCAGACTGAGCCACCCAGGAGCAGCTTTGATGCTCTCATCTTACAGCAGTTCAAAAGCAATTTATGTGATAAATCTGTCAGATCTACAGAATACCTCACTATTCTGAGTTCCTGTACAATCTTATTTAACTCTCTATATTATAGCACTTTATTTTTTTCATTTTTTAATTTTTTTTAATGTTTTATTTCTGAGAGAGAGAGAGAGAGGCAGTGTGAGCAGGGGAGGGTCAGAGAGAGACACAGAATCTGAAACAGGCTTCAGGCTCTGAGCTGGCTGTCAGCACAGAGCCCAACAGGGGACTCGAACCCATGAACTGTGAGATCATGACCTGAGCTGAAGTTGGACACTTAACCAACTGAGCCACCCAGGTGCCCCTATCATAGCACTTTAAAATTCCTCCCTTTATCATGCTTATTCTAATCTTAAATTTTATGTTCTGGAGAGCAATATGCTACATAAACGTATAAAAAATGTTTTTCTTTTTATTTTTTTTTTAATTTTTTTTTTAATGTTTTGTTTATTTCTAGGAGAGAGAGAGAAAGAGAGACAGCGTGAGCAGGGGAGGGTCAGAGAGAGAGGGAGTCACAGACTGAAGCAGGCTCCAGGCTCTGAGCTGGCAGTCAGCACAGAGCCCGACGCGGGGCTCGAACCCACGAACCGCGAGATCACGACCTAAGCGAAAGTCAGACGCTTAACCGACTAAGCCACCCAGGTGCCTGTTTTTATTTATTTATCTCAGAATTTATCTGGAACAAAAACCTCTAGTACATTTAGTACATTTAGTTTTAAAGGAAAATGAAAAGATGTTTCTGATATCCTTACTGGAAAACACCATTGTGTACTTTATTAGAAAATGATATGCAAAACATTAATCTGGGGAGGAGGGAGTGGTTCTTTACTAGATCAATCAATACAGTTACATAAAAAAAAGAAAATGACTTCTGGTTCCCAGTCCACTTTTGGAGATAAAAATCTCTCCGACGGAGTATTTTAATAATCCCTGCAATTTGCAAAGTGGATCTGAAATGCCTTATTTCCACGTAAAACATTTTATTTGCTTTGAGTTAATATTTTTAGATGGTTTTATTGAGAAAATATAAAGCTTTAACTTATTTGTAAGGAATCTATTCTTTTTTTTTTTTTAACGTTTTATTTCTGAGAGAGAGAGAGACAGTATGAGCAGGGGAGGGTCAGAGAGAGAAGGAGACACAGAATCTGAAGCACGCTCCAGGCTCTGAGCTAGCTGTCAGCACACAGCCCAACACAGGGCTCAAACCCACGAACCGTGAGATCATGACCTGAGCTAGTCAAACGCTTAGCCAACTGAGCCACCCAGGTACCCCACAAGGAATCCATTCTTAAGGCTTTAATGAAACATGATGTTAAGTCATTATAAGAATCATTGTATATGTTTATTGGTATACTTATTTATGAGAGAGAGAGAGCGCGCGCACGCAAGAAAGGGGCAGAGGGAAAGAGGGAATCCCAAGAAGCTCCCCAGGCTCGATCTCAGGAACCATGAGATCATGACCTAAACTGAAATAAAGAGCCAGATGCTTAACCAACTGAGCCACCGAGGTGTCCCAAGAAGGGTACTTTTCTAAAGGGCACAGAACTTTTTTTTACTATTGTGGCAAAGATGTAAAGCTACAGTTTTCCACTGCTTGAATGTTCTAATATTAACAAACACAAAATAAACCATCAGTTATTATTCTTTATTATTTCTAGGCCTAAATGACCTACCTCCTGTGATGAGATCATAATAGTAATGGTAACCCTCAGAGGTTATGCCTTCTACCCATCTGCCCTTTGAAGGGTCTTTTTTCTTCTTCTTCTTTTCCTTCTGCTGATTTGATGCAGAGGTGGGCGGGACAGTGCTTGTTACTGGTGATATACTTGGCTCTGAAATCTCTAAAGAAAAAGACAAGAAAGATAAAGTACCAATGCAACTTTTTTTTTTCTGGTATAAAATATTAATAGTTATATCAATCAAAAGCTTGACAAGAAGATTCCTTCGGGAACTTCATAGAGTATTATGTATTATAAAGCTCATCTGGGAAACCAAGTGTGTACAAATACCTAAAATTATAAAAGGGGAATCTCTTCTACCAAATACCAAGACTTATTCTGGTTAACTACTTGGAAAAAAGTAAAGCTATTTCTCACTCCATGGTCCCTCACATGTCTTGACATTAATCTTTCACATCAAAGAAAAATATAAAAAAATGAAGTAAATTAATGTTAAACTTAACTAGGTACAAATCCAAATATTCTGTATAGCAAATATAAATAAAACGAACAAGACAAAGAATATACTATGCTAATTATAATGGAATTAAGATAAAAAAAAGACAAACAATATTTACAACGGATATGATACAGGTTAATGTTTATGACACAGATCCTTTATAAACAAATCCAAACTCTTAACAGAAGACGGATAATAAGTACAAAGATAATCCAGACAATACATACATTCACCAATATTAAAAGAAACATAAATAAATATAATTTTCTTTTGCATTAGATCAGTAAGTACTGAAAAGGATAACCAATTATAGTTACTCAATCTAATCCATTAGGTAGTTACATGGGTAGGATAAGAGTAGTAGTTTTTATGGCTCTACTTTTTGGTAAAACATTAGCCAGTTATTACCAAACAACTTAATAAATTAATTTTATTTCTACAAAAGTGTAAATTAGTCCAATGTTTCTGGAGTCGGCTTGGTATTAGTTATCAATATATAAAATATATTCATACTTTGATTCTGCAGTCTCACTTCTAGAGATTAAACCTACAGAAATAAAAGTGAAAACATGCCTGCATAGAGGTGCTCAATGAAGCATTCTTTCTAACACTGAAACCTCTAAGCAACCTAAATGTTAGTCAGGAAGAGAAATGCCACTTTTATGGCATTTTATACACTTTATTAAACACTTGTTACAAGTGGTCTATAACAAGCAGTTTAGGGGCACCTGGGTGGTTCAGTCGGTTGAGCATCCGACTGTGCTGACTGGTAGTTCAGAGCCTGGAGCCTGTTTCAGATTCTGTGTCTCCCTCTCTCTCTGACCCTCCCCTGCTCACGCTGTCTCTTTCTGTCTCTCTCAGAAATAAAACATTAAGAAAAATAAGCAGTTTATACCATTTACATGACTTAGTTTTTATGAAAATCAAAAGTCGTATAGTTAGCAAATAGCAATTCTGGTGGAAAATGGCAATTCTGGTGGATTCTAAAGCCTGTGCTTCTAACCACTTTGTAGCCACTAAAAACGAAGTATATTCTTAATTACTTAAAAAAAAGGAAATAGTTGACATATCATTGAATGAAAAAATGAGACAATCTCCAAAAAGATTATAACATAAAATGTGGAGTATAACTTAAGAAAGAATATTCTAGAAATGTCTGGGAAAATCTTAAAAGCAGTTGGTTTTTAAAAGTCTTTTTTCTTTGTACTGCATTATTGTAATTTTAGAGGCATGTATACCCTACTTAGGAAAACAAAGCTATGAAAAACATTAAATAGAAAAAAATCCTATTTAAATATATTTAAATGCAAAATGCTAAGATTTATTTGCTCATAGGGCAGCATAACAAAACTTCCCAATCCGATCCATGTAATTGGTAAGATGAATTTTCAACTACTTTTCTTTAATTCTGCAGGAGCACCTTCATCCTTTTCCTCCTTTAAACATACAGCTTTATCCTTATGGAAATACAGTCCTAATCCCTTCCTTTTAATTAACAACCTCTACGATAATATTTTTAACATGTTTTTTTAAAAGTTTTTTGTTTATTTTGAGAGAGGCAGCATGAGTTGGGGAGCGGCAGAGAGAGGGAGAGGAGAGAATCCTAAGCAGGCTCTGTTAAGCCAGCATGGAGCCGGATGTGGGACCTGAACCCACAAACTGTGAGATCATGACCGGAGTCTAAACCAAGAGCTGAATGCTCAACTAACTGAGCCACCCAGGTTCCTCAAAAAAAAAAAAAAAAAAAAAAAAAAAAAAAAAAAAAAAAAAAAAAAAAAAAAAAAAAAAAAAAAAAAAAAAAAAAAAGATCTATGTTATGACCCACCAGTTCCACTTCTGGGTATATATCCAAAGGAAACATGAACAGGATTTGAAAAAGATATATGCATTCCCACACTTACTGTAGCATTACTCACAAGAACCATGGAAATAATCTAAATGCCCATCAACAGATGAATAGATAAAAAAGATGTAGTATATATACACAATGGAATACCATGCAGGCACAAGAAAGGAAGATATCCTGTCATCTGCAACAACATGGATGGACCCTGAGCATAATATGCTAATAAATGAGGTAAGTCAGACAAAGAAAAGACAAGCATATTGTATGGTATCACCTGTATGCAGAATTTTAAAAAGTCAAACTCATAAAAAACAGAAAGTAAAACTGTTGTTATGGGAGTTGGTTGGGTTAAGGCTGATATTGTTTAAGGGTACAAACTGGCAATGAGTAATAGGTACATAAGCCACAGAGATTTAATCCACGGTATAATGAATATAGACAACAAATACTGTCATTAGATAATGTGATAAATACTGCTAAAGTGTAGTCACATTATACATAAAGGCATCAAAACATCTGCATACCATGTGACGTCACATGTCAAATTTATCCAATTAAAAAAATTACCTTTTAGTGGTAAAATCAGTAAATTTGTGTACAAAAGGCTAATTCACTATAACTATATAAACAAACATAATTTATAGTTTTGACCATATGGATAAAGTGAACAGGGGTTATAATGCAAGGCCTATTTTTTAATGAATAGTGCCTTTTAGCCAAATGCCAAAAACACTCAATTGTTTCTGAAATGAACACTGATCTAAAACAGAACTAGGAACTAGCTAACTACCAAAGTAGGATGGTTGTGAATGGAGGTGTTAAAAAATGAAGCTTTAAAGTAAAACAAAGTGCAGGAGTAAAGTCCCACAGTCTTAATACAGCTATGGTGCATAGGAAAAGCACTAACAGTATACCCTGAGCGTATAACCTCTTTATGGAAACAATAAAAGCTCACTTAGCATGACCTCTGATGTTAGTTTTAAAACATGCTGGCTCCTTCTTTACCTGTCTCTAAGCCAAGTCTTTTCAAATCCTCTTGGTATGCTTTCAGGGCAGCTGCCTCCATTGCGGCAAACTCCTTTGATGCCTTTTCTTCTTCCTTTGCCTTATCCAGGCTTTTCTGTTTAATCTATGGAGGACACATAGAAAAGTGAAAGCCAGAAGAAGGACTGATATTTACGTAAAAAATTAGCAAAGAAAGAAACTAAATTACCTCACTGATCCTCTTTGCCACATTTTCCTTATGATTCTTTCCTCTTTCGTGAAATTCAACACTCTTGAAAATAAATAAAAGAGAAAATGCAAAGGAAAGCTATGTAAACATCATCATATTCATAGTGAAGTAACAGTAAACATGGGAATGGAACAAGATTGAAATAAAAAATGACAAAAAAGAAAAATAATTTTAAAGCAAATTAGAACTTTTTATCAAATGATGCTAGGGAACTGATCCATGTTATTTATTATTATACTCTCTGACCAAGTTTTCTTTGGTGCTTAAAATAAACTATGACTGTATCAATGAAGAAAAATACAAAATACCCTTGATGACTAATCTAGTGAGTATGATTGTAACGAGGGCTCAAAACAGGAAGCCAAAAGAGGAGTGGAAAAAAAACTTCAAGAAACACCTCTCAACATAAAATGTCAAAATCAGTAAGTCTCTAGAATTTGTATTGCTCTATTTGCCACATTAGGCAAGGGATATAGAGAATAAACAATAATCCTTAGAACCTTATTCCTCCAAATTGGGAGAAAAGTAGACAGTAAAGAATTCCTCCTAAATTGTAAATACTTTTATAGACTGTGGTAATGGTATAAAATGTAAAACTCCTGTGGAGGGCAATTTGGCACTATCTACCAAATTTGGCTGCTGGAATAAAGAACAAAGCTCCCTGTATGGAGAAAGCTCCAGGATCTACTGTTCAATTAAAAAACCAAAACCAAACAAACAAAAACCACACTAAACTATGAAGGATAGTATATATGGTATCCTACATTTTATGTACATTGGAATAAAAGCCTCTATATACATCAACAATGGAAAAATTGGACAAGAAAATGAAAAAAGTGGTAACCTACAAAGATGGTAACTGAATGGAACAGTGAAATGAGTGAATGTTATTACCTATTTAAAACAGGCAGGAATGCTCCCTAAATTACAAATATCTGGTTATATAAAATAAGAAATTTTGGGTAAATTTTCTACAATTCACTACAGTGAATTCCTCTTAAACAGTACCACTGTATAACAAATGTTCATCTTCTATTTTTCATATATCGGTTTTCCTAAATTATACCACACAAAGAATATTAAAGGCCCATTCAAAAGAAATTAATTTTGTTTCTCATTAAAGGTTAAATCAATGTATATTAACAATCCAAGGATAAGAAAGACATCCTAGAATGGATTATTTACCCTTTATGACTCCTAAAATCCACTGAACTGCCTGGGTAGCTGAAGAGAAGAGATACTACCAGTGACTTGCATAGATTTCAAAATTTGTGGCATTTATGTGTGAGGAAGGCCTAAATTAAGCAAGATAGTGGAAAACTTTAACAACTACTCAAAAGACCTAATACCAAAACAAAACACTGAGGAAAAATATTCCCAAATCCCTCATAGACAATAATAACTATCTACCAAAGAAACACAACACTGCTAAAGATGGGGCTACTATTTTTTTGTGCATGCAACTCTTATCAGGTAAAAAAGATATGAATATACATTTAAAAGATACGCTGATATTTATGTACATATTGCTATGACATGCATTTGAAGGGGGTAAAAATCAGTGATGCTTTTATACCTTAAAAGCTTAATCTAGATTAAGAAATACAGTAGTAAAGTGCTTAACAGAGCTATTTCCATATTCCATGACAGAGGTAATGACATTCTTTAAAATTTAACCATTTATAGGGGCGCCTGGGTGGCTTAGTCGGTTGGGCGTCCGACTTTCACTTGGGTCATGATCTCGCGGCTTGTGGGTTCGAGCCCCGCGTTGGGCTCTGTGCTGACTGCCAGCTCGGAGCCTGGAGCCTGTTTCAGAGTCTGTGACTCCCTCTCTCTCTGACTCTCCCCTGCTCAAGCTGTCTCTCTCTCTCTCTCTCTCTCCCCTAGAAATAAATAAAACATTAAAAAAAATTAAAAAAAAAAATTTAACCATTTATAGCTATAAAGCTCTGCAAATATATTTAATTATCTTAGAAAAGATACAACATGAACTACAATAATGTTCCTTTTTACATATTAAGGGCTTTGCCCTTTTATGTTTCTTTGTACGTGATAGTATTACAAACAACATCATAACGTAGATAAACATGGATGAGATTACCCACTCAGTGTCCATTTCCTGAATGTCCCTGAAGGACCAAAAAGAAATTATTTGGCTTAATACATAATCAAATTTAAGCTGACGAAAGAGGAGGAGGCTCACAGCTCTCTTACAAGAAATGAAAAGACAACAGAAATCCTTCAATGTTTTTGAAAAATCAAGAGCAATGTATATGAAGGTGCTTTGTAAACAATGAGTTTAGCCAAAAAGGAAGACATGAAAAAAATATTGGATTCTTATAGTGTAATTATCATACAGGCCTATTGTCGGCTATCCAACACTTGCAGTAATCACAGAATTTCTTTGGTTGCGACTTCCAGTAATCTGCCCTGAAAAAGGGAAAAACAAGTCTAAGATTATTTGTAATACAAAAAGGTAAACTTCTGCATGCTTTGTATCTTTTTAGAGTTTGATATATAAGCCCCTGCCACTGAATCCTGTCTTGTTACACACACTACCTTGTTTTTTTATCTCACTGCAGCAGTTAGCCAAAATTGTTGCCAGTAAAAAAGAAAAAGTCCGCACCGGGTTTAAAATTCCTTTACGTAAAATTATTTTTAAAAACTTTTTTTTTTTCCATCGGCCACTGTCATCAGTATTTAGAAATAAGACACATCTTGGAAAAGATTTATCTTCTTTATGTCTTTCTGGCATTTGGGGACGTGGCTATAATGGGAGGCCTGAACAAACTCAAAGTTTGCTTTAAATCGTTATTTCCATTAAAAGAGCAAAGAACGAGACTCCTCTGGTGGGAGACTGGTTCCTCCGAGACTATCAGTTAATACAATTTGTTCTTGAGCCTCAGGGCTGGAGTTGGAAAAGCCAAGAGACCTCTCAGCCGGCAAGACGTAAAAAAATAAACCAAAAAAAAACAAAAAACAAAAAACCAACAACAAAGTCCTCACGCTGGCCAAGGAGGAGGAGGCTGCCGTGGCCGAAGTCCAACCCTGAAGTTTCACAACACCCCACGTTCAAGCGCCACGGGATGGAGAGGGTGCTTGCGACCCCCCAACAGTGCAAGCGAGCACCAGGTCGCTTCGCGGGAGGCAGTCCACCTCACCAGGCCGCCAGCCTCCCTCCCGAAGCCCGGGCCGCAGGCCCCCAGGGCGCCCCGCGGGGCAGCACTTCTACCCGCCCCGAGAACCGGCTCTGCCGGTCTGGTGCCGGTCCCGAGCGAGTTAAGAACACCTCCGTCACGCCTCCAGCCGAAAGGAGGAGGTGGGGGGGGAAGGGGTTGGCGGAGGGCGAGACCCGCGGAGAAAGGGCCGCCCAGAGAAACAACACTTCGTTGTTTAGAGCCTGAGACCCGACTCACATGACTGCACCAGCCGCTCCGCGAGTCGCCCCCGGGGCCGGCTCGAGCTCGAGTTCCCCACGCGGGACGAGATGAGGCCCGGCCCGCCGCGAGGCCCACCCGAGCCTCCAAGCCCGGACACCTCCCCCTTTCCCCGGGACCAGGGTTCCACGGTTCCCAACTACGGGTGCCCAGGCGACTCAATCCGCGTTCGAAATCTCCTCCTATTCCCCTCCCCCTACAGGGGCGGTACTCCAGGCTCCTGAGAGGTGGGGTCGGTATAAAGGGGTTGAGGTCACCGAGAAGGGGTGAAAGCGCGACGGGACCTGAGCCGGAGGACGGGAACCTCACGCCTCAAGTCCCCTCATCAACCCGCCTTCACTCTCTCCCTCTCTTCCCCTGGGATCCAGAACCTCCACCCTTCTTCTAGGCTCGCTGGCTCGTGGCCAAGGAGCTCGCGCGCCGCCTCCGCCCCGAACGCAAACAGCTGTTCCCCGAGACGTCGCCGCCCTCAACTTTGCCAACTAGTCCGCACGCACTTTGACCAGCGGAGCAACCCGGACCCGTAGGCTGGGGGCCGTTGGCGGAGTTAAAAAAAAAAAAAAAAAAGAAAGGTGAAACAACTGGTTTCGGGGCCGCGAGTTGCTGGGCTTTGCCTCAGAACTTTCCGGAGGCGGCGGAGTGGCCCCGCCCCGCCCCCGCGACGCCCGCGCGCACGGGCAGTGCTAGTTTCTTCGCTCTGAGAGCTCGTGGGCGGCGGCGGCGGCGGCGGCGGCTCCCGAGGCGCAAGAGGCGGCGGGGGGAGCCGCGGCGCGGGGAAGTGGAGCTGAGGCAGCGGTAGCGTCTGCGCTTGTCAGGTGAGTCACGGCAGCGTCTCTGCTAGCACTTCCCATATGGTCTAGCGGTTAGGATTCCTGGTTTTCACCCAGGCGGCCCGGGTTCGACTCCCGGTATGGGAACGTCGTACTTTTTAAAAATGGGGGGGGGGGGAGAGAACTAAAAGAGGTAACTCACTTATTTTATTTTCAAAAGTTTTGGCTCTCTTCGTTTCCTTCTCATGATGTGTTTGTGAAAACCGAGCTTTAGTGTAGTTGTTAGCGACTCCGTGACCCGTGCTTCGCCGGACAGGCTGGAGGAGCGAGTGCGCTCAGGGTCTCCTCCGTCCTCTGGCTGGCTGGGCCGAGCCGCCGGGAAGGAGTTTCACTTTTCCAGGGGCTGCCCTCCCGCTCCTCCGCCCCGAGTCGTCCTTTCCCAGACGCCGGGGAGGTGATGATTAACTCCGGCCTCGCCTTATCTCCTCCCAGCGCCCCCCTGGGGCCCACACCCTCTGCGGCCGCAGTTTTGGACCGTCCCAAGCGACGCGGGGGCGTGTTCGGTCCCCTGCCCACAGCGCCGGGAGCCCGGGCCCCGTTCGGAGTCCTCGTTCTCTTTCCGCCGGCTCTTGTTCACAGGAACCCGCACCGGCCCCTGGCACAAAGCCGCCCGTCGCGGGGCACGCGGCGGCGTGGCGGTCTGGCGAGCTTCGGTGCCCGCGGGCGCGCTTTCCAGTCCGCGCAGCTGCCCGTCACCGCCCCGCCGGCCGCGTGTCCACCGGCTCTCCCGCAGCGGCCAGCTCGTCCCAGCTTGACCTCGGGGGTGCTGGTCGCAGCTCAGAAAAGTACCGCGGAGTCCAGAGCCACAGGCTCGAGTGCCTGTCTCTGCCCGGGAAGGCCTCTGGGGAAGGGAATGCGTTTCTCCCCCCCCTCCCCCCCCACCGCCAACTAACCCCGCTTTAAAGCGCGCGCGCACATGCTGCGGAGAAGAAAAAATACCACTATGATGAGAAGTGTTTCAAGAAGAAATTGAAGTTTCGAGAGAGTCTAGCGTTTTGAACGCCGCTGATAGAAAATCTCGGGGTGGAGGTGGGGCTTGGAAGAGAGAAAATTGGCTGAAGACTGGGGAGGGGATGTTACAACAAAGTTTTCACTGTATTTTTAAATATAGAAGCCCTGTGTTTATTACAAAGAAGGGGCAGCTGTGTCAGCAGCATGTGAGCTGTAAATGAAACAAAAGCGTTATCTTAAATGCAAGCTGAAATTAGAAAATGGGGTGAGCTATAATGTTTGGTCCATTGGGCTTCAGGGAACAAATAGAGATGGAAAAAGTGGCTCTTGTGGATGGGTTTCTGGTCAGTGCCATTACTAACAGCAGATGATTGGGTGGTTAGTGTGGACTTTCCTAAACTTTTGTATTTTGACTGCACAATGGGTTTTGAAATAGTCAACGTGATCTGCATGTTTAAGGATTAATCACTTTTATATTGTAAATAAACCTACAGAACTGAAAGTATTTTAGGTCTTTCTTAATTCAAAATACATCAGGCACCAACACATGCTTTTGAAAGTTACTGATGTTGACGTTTGTGTTAATAAGTTGCCCATACAGTACTGAATGTAATTGTGTTTTGGCTCCTGTCATTAGCTTGTGATTGACCTTTTGTAGATCTTTCACCTTCTCTGTACTCTGGGTTTACAGCCGTAAATGTTTGATAATACATACCACTCCGAAACTTTAGATAGACTTGCAGTGATTGTTGAGCATTCCTGAATAGGTAATGGCAGTGGGAAAGGTTCATTTATGTATTTATTTTGGAAAAGTTTCATTTAAAATGAAGAATGGGGTCATGTCATTATTAAGAAACTACTGAAGAATTCGGTCTGAATTTGGGTGGAAGGAAGCCCCCTTCCTGATGTCCAGTGAGAGCTTAACTCTTGACTTTGCATTTTGTGATGACTTCGTATCATATTGTACTGAACTGTGCTAAAATGGATATGATTTTCAATTGAGCACCCAGGAATTGCAAATAGCTTTATGCATACTTGAAGGTATGCTGAGGGCAGGAGTTTGGTGACAATATTTCTCAGATTCCTATATTTTTGTGTACCAGGCCAAACAGGGTATCTGAGTTGCAGAAATGAGCGCTATAGGAACACAGAGGTGAGACATTAGTCCTTTTCAGGAAAGAGGACTGGAAGGGAGAGTGTTTGCCCTGGACTTTGGAGAACTGGTTGGATTTCTCCTGGTGGAGAATGTGTCTTCTAAAACTGAGGGGAGTTGGGGTGGGAGGTTTGGGATCAACAAGTATGAAGTTGGCAAATAGTCTGGACACAGTACTTGGAGGGAGAGACATGTGGAAGAGAATTTCACCTTAATAAATTTTGACAAGGCAACAGATTCTTTTATCACAGGAGTGATGTTTATATCACCAGAGTTTTAAAAACCCTTTTCCTTCGGAAAAAAAACAAATTTAGAAGTAACTTGTGAAAACTGTTTTTAAAACATTTGAGCAACATAAACACGTACCCATAGGTTTTATGTTTACCAGTTGAATATTAATTTTTAATTAATAGAATGAGAAAAGCAGTCAGAATTCATTTTGAGAAAATGAAATCTAAGTTTAAAGCATGAAAATTATCTGCAATTATATTCTTACTAGCTTGCTTTATTGAAAATGATTTTGATATTCTAAGGTCAATATTGAGCTACAAGTTACTGTCAGTAAGTCATATGCTTGTGTCTTGTTACTAAAAGGCCATTGGTTGTCATATTTTAGGTGTTCTCTCCTGAGCCACAGAATGAAGTGATACTAATTGAATTGCATTTATTTACCCAAATAGTTTCTTTAATCTTTGGTACTGTTAGATGCGGTCAGAAGATATGTGACAGTTTAGTAAATGTTTTCACAGTTGAACACTTATCTTTAAAGAAATAGAAGGGATTGAAAAACGGTGATGGAATTTTAAAATTCAAAGACTTTACTGTGGTCTCTGAGGCCCAATATCATCTGGCCTCTGCTTACCTCCCCAACTTCATCTCCTGCTTTCTCTGCCTCTTCATTATACATCAGCTACACTGGTTTCCTTTTTGTTCCTCGAATATGCTAAACTTCTTCTCTTCTCACTTTTATATCTAGCTGTTTCTATTTCCTGGAATATCCCTCCTCCAGCCATTCATCTTTCAGGTCAACATTACCTTTTCACTGAGGTCTTTCTGACCACCATTTCTTTGATTATATTACTCTCTTTTGGTTTTTCCTTTTTCCTAGTTATATGAAATTAACATGTTTATTTGTTTCTGTTTATTTTTTTTTCCAGTAGAATATAAGTTCCATGAGGGTAAGGATATCATATAGTGAGATCATTCTTATTCTTTAAAGTTCAAGCAAAAAATAAGTTGGAACCCTCAATAGTGCTGGTAGACCTGTAAAATGGTACAGTCACTCTGGAAAACAGGATGGCAGGACCCTCAAAATGTTAAATGTAGAGTTACAGTACAAGCCAGCAATTCCATTCCTAGGAATATATTCAAGATAAATTAACACATGTCCACACAAGAACTTGTACACACATGTTTATAGCAATATTATTCATAAGCAGAAAGTAGAAATAACCCAAATGTTTATCAACTGAATATATAAAATGATATGTATCCATACAATCAAATATTATTTGGCAATAAATTTGAATGAACTGGTATATAATACAGTATGGATCAATCTTAATAGCATTATGCTAAGTGAAAAAAGCTAGGCTCAAAAGACCACATTTTCTATGATTCCATTTATACAGACTGTCCAGAATAGGTAAATCTAGAGGAGAAAATGTATACTTTATGGTTGCCTAGGATTGGGGTGGGAGGAGGCAGTAGTTAAAAGCACATGAGGAGTAACTGCTAATGTAGGTATAAGGTTTCTTTATAGAGTAGTTAAAAATCTCCTAAAATCATTTAATAATCTAATAATGATAATGGTTGCACAGCTCAGTAACTAAACTAAAACCCATTAAGTTCTACTCTTTGAACCGGTGAACTTTGTGATGGTATGTAGATTATATCAACAAAATTGTTAAAAGATTGAAGCAACAAAAAACATGTAATATTACATTTTACATTTATCATTTGGTTAGTATTTTTAAAATGTTAATGGAATAATTTAACACTGCAATTCTAGCTCTTAGATAGTCCAGGAATGTAGCAAGTATTCAATAAATAACTGATGGAGGGTTAAAGTATACAGATAATTATGGTGCAATGTATAGTATGATAAATGCTTAGATAAATGCCCATAAAAGCCATGGGTTTGAAGGTCTCTAAAATATCACATCTGGATTCCTGTGAAGTGAATGGGGAAATGCCTCCTCTAGGAGGCAACATTTGAGATGGGCTTTGCA